TCTCTGTCTCTCAGCACACATCAGTAGGGATGGTAGGAATCAGACCCTTAGTCATATTTATGGACTTTGCCTACAAGGGTTTTTTCAGTTCAATGAGTATTCCAGAAAATACCTCATGACTAATACATCTTAGTGCCTGTAGGAGTGGGTGTCTTCACTTCCTGCCTGGATGGCAAAATGGTCCATCAATGATGGAATAAATATTAACCAAAAATGAAAGTCATTGAGTTTTCTCTGACTCTTCTTGGGTTTAGTTTCACCAGTTGTTCTTAGGCTCCGATTTGAGATGGAAATTTACTGTGCTTCTCTCTTGGCAGTTTGGCCTATTTGGTAATTAGAGTCTACTTGCTTCATGAGCTGTTCCCATGGTCCCTTAGTTGTGCTTGTTCTTGCTCTTGTATTTTCTGTTCCCTTATTACTTTCCTAATAACTGCTAATCAGGCTCCTCTCCTCCTCTAATATTTTCTTGTGTGTTTGGCTAGGCTTCTCTACATTCTTCGTGCGGCATATGATGTGCCATCACTAGAACAAGATGTCACAGCTTTTCAGCAGATGGAAGTTACTTCTCCAGAAGGCTCTCCTTTAATAGCCTGTTTCAGCTCTCTCCACATGAGTTTTTACTCTGCTTCATGGTGGGTCTCTGCTACAGCAGTGACTTTCCAAAATTAATAATACCTGGACTTGTAAGCAATTACAAGTATCTTGGCTTTAGCGAGCCACCTTTCCCAGCTGAAGCCACTGGAATCTTGTGGTCTGGAGTCTCTACTCTGTCTTGTGGTTCACTGAGGCTCTCTTCTGTTTCTTGCTCCTGGCTGGATATATTCCCTTGTTTGTTTTAACTAAGTATCTTAAGGAATCCCACTAGTCTATATGGTTATTTGTGGCTTGGCCTTTTTTTTCAGTCCTCACTCTATCATGCCAATTTTTTTTTGCTCTCTGTGCCAGGACCTCTTGAGTTTGGTCCCCAATACCTACAGCATCTCTCCTTTCCTCCTTCAGCTCCTTCCCCTCACAGGTTTTTTGTGTGTTGGTGTTGTAAGGTAGAAAAGTCCTTTTCACTCTGAATGCTTCAGAATGTAAATTGATGTTAATTTTCTCTTTAGTTTTCTAGTTGAAAATTAGAAGGGATAGGATTAATCCAAAAAGTCATCATCTGTGCTCTTTAAAGGCATTTCCAGGTTTTTGGCATATTGAAAACTACCAGAATGTAACAGGCATACGTAGAGAAAGAAGACAAATGCTGATCATTACAATTTTTTTAATTTTCTACAGTGAATAGGCATGTCTAATTGTTTCAGATCTGAAGGTCCCCCTTCCTTCAATTTAGCTGATTATTGTCAAAGATATGCTGTAATCCTTTCCATTTCTTGTATTTCTTAATCACATTTGATAGCTTGGTAACTTTCTTTAACCAGAGCAATGTGTTAAACTTTTTTTTTGGCTGCCACAGAGAATTCTAAGTGATTTTGTTGAACTGGGTTCCAGCAGTTTTGGTATGTAGCCTAACACCATATACTGTGGTGTGCAGAGAAAATCAGTTCTCCAAAGGGAACTCAATAGCAGTGTGGACCTTCTGCCAAAAATTCCTAATTCTGGGACAGTACCAGGAAACTTGCGTGGGTCCCATTCTGCTCCTGCTGAAGTCAAAGCCAAAGCTCCTCCCAATTGCAGGGGGATAAGGTTCAGACTCCAATACTCAGTCCTCGCATTCCCATTTCACACATTTTCCTTAAAATTCTTTTTTCTCCCTTTATTTTTAGGCTCTGGTAAGATACTAACCTTTGCTCTCTCTTGTACATTTTCTGGAAGGCAAATTACAGATAGGAACCATTTTCCTCATCTCTTACGCTGTTTAAGAGTAGCTCCTGTTTTGTGCCCCAAAGCACGGCTGGAACTCAGCAGCTGTAATCTGGAGTGACAGATGAGCAAGTCAGATCATGAAAGGAGGAAAAGGCTGCTGGAAAAGGAGCAAACAAACAGAAGAAAATCTTGTAATCATATCAGAAAGACAAGAAGTGATGTCTTGAAAGAATTAAATTTTTATTTCAGTAATCCCCGAGTTTACTTGGATTGGAAAGATGAGGAATCGGAGATAGGCTGTGGACAAGCAGGAGATGATAGCAGATGTGAAAAGATGGGATCTTGGGACATTTGCCATAGGAAATGAAACTCCATCATCAGTGTGTTGCAATAAGTGCTAATAGGTTTGGAGCTTGACCATGTCTTACGTGTGTGTAAGTATACACACTGCTATATATAGCTCTGGAAATAAACATAAGTAATCTGATAGCTTTAAACATAGTCAGTTTTCTTATTAGACTGTAAGAACAGTTGCAAGAAGCAAGTGTAAGAATAGAACCATGAAGCTTAGAAGAGATATGGACTTGATATTAAACACAAGGTGATGGGCAGCAAGTTGGGGACTACTAGACTGTTTCCAACAGTGCTACACAATCACTGCCTGACATCAGGGAAGTAATTTCATTTTTTTTTGCTTTTTCATTTGTTTTCTTCATCTGCATTAAATGGTTCTCATTTTTTCTGTTAGGAGCTGCTGAAGGGTGTTAATATGGAAGGAAAGCAACTGAGCTACAGAGTAATAGTCACTTTTCAACAAAACAAAGTGCAAGAGTTTCCAGGTGGAGATTCACAGGGAAGGGAAGAAGGAGCATCCCTTGCACATTCCCAACCCGCTTGTGGACACGTGAGTTGGATACACATGAACTGTGCGCAGTGAGGAAATGGAAGGGCCCAGGTAACGCCCCTCCTGGCCTGTGCCTGTCTGTGGCCTGACCAGCCCCCTGGGCTCCTTAGTTGAGCATAGCCAAGGACCCTGTCCAAACAGCCTAAAGGCTGTGTTCAACTCCAGCAAGGGCTGTGATAAGGACATAAGGAGAAAAGTGCCGATAAGGAGTCCTACTTTGTGAACTTGATTGTTTTTAGTTTTGAACATAGAAAATGGAGCAACCAATGCTAATTTTTAAACATATGTTGTTTTAAGTAACTCAATAATCAGGGTCAGTAAAGCTTTATTTACATGCTGTATGTGCAGCTGGCAAGAATCTCAAATTGTGCCTTCTGCAGTACAAATGCTGCTGGAAAGGGAGATCTCTGCATGTAATGTCCCCAGCCCATCTCACCATGTGTTGCATGTTAGCTCCTGTACTTGTCAATGTGCAATGAAACAAGGGCAGGATTTATCCAGGGTCACTCTCAGGGCAAAATTCTCTCCATAATATCCCTAATGGTGATGCTAAAAGGTTAAGGAAACAACTATTTTTCTACTGAATACTTGACATCTTATTTAAGAGAATAATAGATTTCAGGGAATAGCACCAAACCCAATCAGTAATGTACATATGTTAGTTCATCTTAATGCTAATAAACAAAACCTAAATGAAATATAGTACTTCTGTTGTTGGAAGCCATTCAAGTGTGATTTAAAACAGAAAGCTGACAAATACTTTACTGCAGTAGTGTCCAATATCTCCCTGGGCAGGTACCAACATTTTCACACCTTGCTGTCTGTTTGTTTAATGTAAGGTACTTAGACAGGAAAGCAAAATGTTGTCAGCTTTGGCTTTCAAAAAGTGAAGTAAATAGGAAATCATGTAGCCAATGAGACTATACAGATTCTGAATGATTCAAGGTATTGAAAATTAATTTGAATGTGAAATCAAACACCTTGTTGCTTTGCCTGAGAATATTTTTTTTCTCTATAACTTTGGTTTCTTATCCCCAACAAAATTCAGTTTGTTGTTCAGGTTGTTGTTCAGATCTGATCTTGGTTTCCTCACAATTTCCTCTTCATCTTTTGGCCAGTTCCCAGATATCTAGATCACCCAGAAAAGTACTTTTCAGCTGAGTGGAGCATCCTCAGTGACAACACTACAAAATTATTGTCTTTTAGAGCATTTTGTCATGTTTTATCAGTTCTCTTATGTTTTGCTCTTTGGGAATATGTTTGGTTTTACTTCATGACATTTTTCTCCAACTTACCTACAACTAGAAGGTATTTGCTACATGTTTGATGGGAAATATTTGTTCTTAGAGCACCCAGTAAGAGCCAAGTACCATAATCCTTACCCACATCAGATTTCTGCTGAGGTTCATGGAAGTTTTGCCCAAGTAAGGCTGCGGGATTGCTTAACTCTACCACGTTGGTTTTTAGTGACAGTTTGCATAAAGATGTCTTAAAGGATAAAGTTACAATAGCCTGTGTTACAGGGACAAGTAAGAAAACCAGAAATTAGAGCTAAAAAACCCTATATCTCTCTAGGAAGACAGTGAATGGTGGTGTATTTCTTTTGGCATTTTAATGCTACTAAACTATATCTCCTCTCTATCTTGTTCAGAATGTTTCTGCACCCAGCTCCAATTATAGATAGATACAAACTCTCTAGCACACTCAGCTTTTTCTCTTTATATCGTTTCATCATCTCCCCCTCGCCAGTCCCCACATTTTAATTTAACTCGCAGCTTCCTGCCGAGTCTCCCCAGCTGGAGCCCATCGGTAGCCGATGGTTCTTCTCGCCCTCCGGGTGCACTAAATGGCATCACCTGTCCCAGCGCTGCCGCTCGGGCCGCCCGCACCTGGGCTGGGCTGGGCTGGGCTGGGCTGGGCACTGCCAGCGGCGAGTGCGGGTCCGGTTTCTCTCCCGGATGCGGGTTCGGGTCGGCGCCCGGGGGAGCGGCGCGGGGCAGCGCGCACCATGCGGGGCCCGGCCCGCCCCGGGAGCCGCGTGTGCTGATGTAATCTCCAGGCAGCCAGCGCTGAAATTCAACACCGCGGCGGGCGGGAGCTCCGCCGGTGCCGGGGCAGGCGGTGCAGCGCCGCTCCGCCGCCCCACTCCGCGGGCAGCCGCGGGGCGCCCCCGCCGCCCGGCCCCCGGCGCCCCCCCCATCGCCGCGCCCGCCCCCGCGGGCCGTACGCGGGCCGGGCCGCCCCCGGGCTTGCGCGGAGCTCGGCGGAGACCTCGGGGCCGCCGCGGTTTCATGGGCAGGAGCTGACCCTGCGGCGGCGCGGCGCTCGGCTTTCCCTCGGATCTCCGCTGCCCGGACAAATGCATACAAATGCATTTGGGAGCCGAGAGGACAAGGCGAGGACGCTTCTCTCCCGCGGAACAAACGTAAGCGGGAGCCGGGGAGGCGTGACGGCGGCGACGGGGCGCATCGCACCGCATCGCCACCCCGCCGCGGGGCGGGCAGGGCACGGGGGCTGCGGCTCAGCTCCCCTCCGGGGGCAGCGGACGGTGACCCCGACGGGCTGTGTCCTCAGCCTTACCTTCCTTGCTCCAGCCGTAACCCCGCGGGGTCCCCAGTGCCCCCGGGGGACCGGCAAGGTGCTGGCACCCTGGCTGTGCGTCTCTCCCCTCCGCACTCTCCTATGTCGTCCTGGATGTGCTCTATCCCGTCCTGCACCCTGGTGTCTTCCTTCCCTCGCACGAGCCCCCACCAGGCAGCCTGGCTCTGGGGTCCCCGGGGAGCGGGGACAGCCTGACCCGCGAGCCAGCGCACCCCTGATCCCCGAGGGGGAACGAGATCCCGGTGGCCGCAGTGCCCACAAGGAACCTGGAAGCTCCTGTACCCTTTTGGTATCCAGCTCTTAAAACGCAGAAAACAACCAAAACATGTAGAATTTACGTTTAAGAGCTGAAGTTTACTCTCTTAATAACAGAGATGGCCAGGTGAGGTGCTTTGTATTTATGTATTTCTATAATAGGCTGAAGTGGTTCCAATGCATCCTCATCTGTGGTGCAAAGTAGAGCTCCTCTCTCTACAGTTGGCCTAAAAGCAGCCTAGGCAAGATGACTGTGAATTTATAGTAGTTGTAATATTGGAGAGGTTACTATTGCAGACAGGTCTGTTTTGGCAAGGCACTAATTTTGTTCTGGCTGTGTCTTAAACTAAGTTTACTGAGTTCTCCAAGCAGGACAGAAGGATTTGTTTTGTGCTGTAGTGAGGATTATGCTGCCAAAGTGTGCCTGGTGTGTAACTGGGTGCACCAGAATGCTTGTGAGCAGTTACGTTTCTGCCTGAAGGTGGCCTTCCCAGGAGAACTGTGTGTTTAATGGATGTGTTTGTGGGACTTGTTCAGGAATTGACTGAATACAATTTAAAAAATGATTTTATTTGATAACTGTAAGTGGGTGTTTCTGATGGAGAAACATAAATTGCATTACAGGAAAGACAGTAGCAGAGATGCAGTTTACTCAGATTAAAAATCTGAGATAGCTTCAGAATATATATTTATATACTTCTATATTGTTTACCTAATTTACTGGTCTAGAGAGAAAGCAATCTGGTTGATTCCCTGTGTTAAGAAACCGGAATTCCTTGCAAAAGATCAGGTTTCCTTAGCATATGTCAAACCAGTAAATCCCTTGCAACCCTGACCAACTTTTTTTAAAAATGCCACTAGGTCGGGCTCGTACAGGGGTTTCTCTGCAGGTTAAAAAAATAAAACAGCTGCATAACTTCTAAATCTCTCACCAAGTTTATTGAAAGAATATTTAATTTTAAAACAAGAACAGCCTTGAGTCACCCTTGTTTCTTGCAAGCATTGAGTTGTAGAACATTTGAGGAATGATCTACAAATTATATAGAGACAAACCCAGTGAAAGAAGAGTGTATTTCATGTGAGTGGGAATTTGAGTTACATAATTTGCCTTAATACAGAGGAAAACAGAGGAAAATGATGTACACTATCTAGAGAAGAAATCTAGTGTAAGAGATCACAGATTTACTCATAAAACAACTTATCTTAGGTCACTGCTCCTCTCCCTCTCACCTTATTTTGTATTTTTACCATTTTCCATTCATTCAAACGGTGAACTCTGGCTAAGTGTTCAAGAACTTCCCCCCCTTGCTGGCTATTTGCCAGCTATGGTGCCAGCTGCCAGAGGGCATGCGACTGTCACCCTGAAGAGGCTGTTGTTTCCCTTAAAGCCATGTAGATAGTGGGTCTTTTAAATTGAGAAGGAGCACTGAAGCCACTGCCTAACCTCATTATAGTAGCAAAGAAAGTTATCTTTCTTTTCACATCTTGAAAGATAAGGTTTGTAACAGCTTGAGGTCTTTGAGAAGCTCAGGTCCTCTCAGTCTAGAAGGTGCTGTGACCTTTCCCAAAGCCCTTCTCAGGCTGGATGGACCCAAACTTGGCCATTCTCCTTAGCAATCCCCAGACGAGATCCAGTGAAACAATGTAGATGGGGCAAGTGCTGATATTTAAACCATCATCACTGATGAGTGCAGGGTTGAATGCATCTGTGGCAGTTACATTGGGAACAAGTTTTCCTGTCTTCTTTAGCAGCCAAATAGTGGCATTTCTTCCTTTAAACTGGATATTTAGGAAACTAGGATGGAACACTAGTTACACTGTAATGCTGTGCACTGACCAAACCTGAGCTCTGCATGCTCCTGAATAGTCTTCAGAGGATAAAATTTTTCATTGTTGCTTGCCAGACTTGCTTTGAAGCTTATCAGTTTCCTCATCCATCCATCACCCCTAAGGCAAAAAACCAACGTGGATAGTTGCTGTCCACTCTGTAGGAAGAGGCAAATGGCCACAAGATGTCAAAGATTATGAGAAAGATAAACTCAGTTTTAAGTGGTAGAATAGCTCAACCACATTTGATAGTGCCTTCCTGCAGAAGATTTATAGTGGCCCTCAGCTTGTGCTTGCATGTAAAATAAAGAGGATTAAAAGATAGGAAAAGGAGAGGAAGCTCAAGAGATACCTAGGCTTTAGGACAGGACATAGCCAAGGTGTATTGTATTGTAACAGCTTCGTGTGTGATGTTTAAATGGGGAAAAAACAGCCAACATTTGAGTCAGCTGGAGTCTTCCTTGCCACAAGCTTTTGTACTTTTCTATTGTTGTGTCCCAACAGGGAAGGTCTCCCCAAGATCTGTGGGCTCAGCCAAGACAAGGAGCTAAGTTCCTTGGAGCTGTCGCAGATGATGGATCAAGTTGCATACATGTTATGCAGAAGGGAGCCTGAGATCTTCGTGGCTATGCTGGTGTGAGAGTGGAGACTGAGAACTGACTAATCTGCAGCTTAAAATCTGCAAATATAAAGAGTAGTGCTCTTGATCAAGAAGAGAGGGTTGCATGAATTATTTCTCTCAAAAAGGCAGAATTTCACTGTTTCATTTTCAGCCAGGGAGGGTTCACATTTACAACTTCACTTTAGGTTGCACATGGTTTCATTTACAAAAAGTTTTACATGTGAAAAAAGACAGAAGGAAGACTAACTTTTCCCACACATTAGAAGACCTCCAGCCCTGTCTCTGGTCCGTGTTTTTCCTCTTAGTTGTTCACTCATCTGTTCTTGACATTAGCTGGAGAGCACTGGAGAGGCAGACACGTGCCTTTACCTCTCACTAAATGTTCCTGTATATCCAGTTACATCTGTGTAATTTGCAGCCCTGGGAGCATTTTGGAATTTCTTACTTTCCTACAGTATTTGCTGGGAGGTGACAGAGGCAGATACCTGACGCACACAGCTTTGTACCTGGTTGGTATTGTGGAAGAGGCTACTGTAATGTTAAGAGGAGTCATCTTTGAATTTTGTGCTCTGGAGTTCTTTGAGCATTCTTATTTCGGAGGTGGCTAAAATATCTTTTGTGATTTTTAGTTGTAAATCCACTTTACACCTTTGAAAGTCAAATAGAGAGTTGTCCTAGGTTTTATCTTATGCTGTGCAATGCATGGACTTTTTTTCTGACACAGCTATTTCCTGTCACTGAGGTCATTAGATCAAAAGATGAGGCATCATGTGATGCAGAAATTATGAATTTGAATTCTGGCCTTTAGAAGTGAAAAAACTGAAGTGAGCGTCCTGGAGCTGACGAGCTATTTGGACAACAGTCAGTGTTAGGACTTTTGCAGGAGCTGCAGAACTGCCCCAGTAGACATTGCATGGCTGTAGCAGGAGAAGGCTTGAAGGGAGAAATAGCTAGGGACTGCAGCGGTGGTTAATTAAGAAACATGCCCTTACAGGCATGTTGGTATTTGTAAGGTGTAGTTTCTACCCTTCTCCCCTTCTATAATAAGAACTGAAGCACTGATGCATATTTTTGAATATGCATCCTATACTTTCTGTGCATTTTCTTCTAAAAGACATGATATATCTACAGTTTTCCAGTGGCAATGATGACTATTGTGTCTTAATGTTCCTTAAATTATTCATTCTGATGGCCAAAATTTAAGCTCTCACAATATGAAAATTCTCTTGATTGTTTTTGCTCTGTGGCTTTTGTCCACCTGGATGTTTCTGGCATGTTTGAATTGTAAACCCGTGAAAGGAATAGTAAGATATTTCGCTAAATACTGCTATATATGTGCGTGTATATCCATGAAGCACCTTGTCTCTCTCTTTGAACCATACTGTCCTGTATAAAGTGGTAGTGTTTTCCTCCTGCCCTGGCAAAGTTACATCATGTGAAATTCCAGGTGTTTAGTTGCAACTCTGTCGCTTTCAAATGCACTTCATTCCAGATACTCGAGTGTTGTCTGGCTTGGTCCAGCAAACACTTTTAGTCACTATAGCATTTAATGTTGTGAAAAATCAGTGATGTTACATAACTTAATGAGCAAGAAGGTTGAACTGTGGCTTGAGCATGAATTGAGTAGTTAGTGTCAGAACTATATTTCTGATTTTTTAAAACATTTCTTCTCAGAAGTAGATATAGGCTACTATAATTGTTACATACATCTGTGCCTAGATTATGCAACATTAACAGAAAATATATTTCTCATTTATTAAAAGATTCAGTCACTGATGAGAGTGTGATTTGATATTAATCTGGCTAATGTGATAATGGGTAAGAAACAGCAGACAGTCTGTTCTTAATCATGGAGAAACAATGCTCTTTGTACAACATTCAACACTTCTAAAGCAAATTTTGAGCACATAATCTCTATCAACCTTATTCATATTTGTTGGAACAACTGAAACATCAATGTGCTATCAACATTATTCTCATATGTAATCCAAAATAAAGCACTCTACCAGCTACTAAGGAGAAAATTATCCCAGCCTAAACCAGGACAGTGAGCCTATGATACTCATCAGTTCTGTGTTTTCCTATCTGAGCATGGAGTTTTAAGTTGCCATCTGATGGGATTCTTTTTTACTCTGTCAAGAACATGTCTTTCTTGGAGCATGATAAAATTTTATAATACAAGAAAAAAAGTGTGACATAACATTTTCTTTTATGGGAATATGATGTGATATAGTGAAAAGACTGATAGCAGGTCAAAAGTATTTAATTATCTCTATAGGCATTAACTTGTCATTTATTTTATGGTTTCTTTATGTTAATATTTTTTTCTTTCTAGGAAGAAATTTACTACAAAGCAGCATTCATATTTGAAAGCTGCTGCAAGAAAATACAAAGCAGATGCAATTGCTTTATTAATAAAAGCCAGTGTAAAAATATATGTATGTATAAGTTGTACAATGTGGTGGCTTTGATTCAGGACTTGCTGAAGTCAGTGATATCCTGTCATGGACTTTGAAAGTTGAATCAAGCTTCTAATTCCTTGGATTTCTGAAACTGTAGATGTTTTCTCATGTGTTTTTTTTTTTTTCTTTCCTTCTTTCCCTTTTAGGAAAGCTCTCCTTTTTATTGCAATATGTATAGCTGTGGGTGTTGCACAAGTACCCAAACAAGGTGAGAATGCTTTGTTTATAACAGGACATTTGTATAACGTGTTACTGGATGAAAAGAGTAGATGTCTCTTGTTACCAGTGACCTTAGGTTCAGTTCCTTAATTCATATGACTTAAAGAAAATACCAGCTACAGCAGAATGAGAGCAAAAGATTAAAGTAACCAGTTTGGAAAAGATGACCTTTTGAAATTACTCAGATTTTCTGTCTATGAAATTGCTTACATATTTAAGCAAGCTCTTCATAAAAAAGAAGCCTTGTACAGTGAAAAGGCTTTGATTGTGTCTTCATTGCAAGTGGGTGTCCTTGGGGGTGGCAAGCTATGACTGAGTTACCTTTGCAATTAAGACTTTAGGCAAATCACTGTGTATAATAAAGGCTTAGTCTAGGCTGGCATCACTAAAAAAATGTGAAATTTGGTATTCATTTGGCTTTGCATTCAGATGCAGATGTTAGTGAGGAAATAAGATTGCCTTGTTTTTAGTTTCTTTTTTAATCTGCCAGCTGTTATAACAGCACCAGATGTGCTGCCTTCTCTGGGAATAATAGCATCCTGAAGTGGTAAGGCTAATATGCCATTTAGTCATGTCTTATTGCCATGAGAGTGGCAGCATCAGTTCTCTGCCATGTTCCTTCAATGTACAGGTGAAGCAGGAAATAGGTCATCTTTGGCTGATGTGTTAACTACAAATACTCATCTGAACACAAACAGCTGGGTTGTGTGGTTAAGACAAGACTCATTCCTGATAATGTTTTGTTACAACCCTTTGGGATATCTCAACAGCCTCCCACCACTATTCTCACCAGTGCCTTTTTCCAGCTCCTCATTCCCAGATATTGGCAAAGCTTGCGTTTCCTTTCAGTTGTGGTTCTTTGTTTTGCTTTTTCTCTCCAGTTGACTTTGTATTTATGCCTTCCATTAGTTGCCTGTTGTTTGCCTGGTAATATTGGTTGTTGATTTTTCACATCCAGCTCAGTGGAGGCCATATGCTTTTGTGATGGGATTTTCCCAGATTTTTCTAATAGCTGAGCCAAGTTCTCATCGGAGGAGGGGCAGCGCCATTAGATGTGTGTGGCCTGACCTGCTCCAGGCCTGTGGGGATGGAAGGGGAAGAGGCTGTTTTAGAGAGGCAGTTTGCAGTTTCCCAGTGTAGCAGGAGCAGGTGAGGGATGCCAGAGGCAGGAGTGCAGGGATGGTTTGAGTGTCTTCATGCCTCCAGCCCACCTTCCTCACTTCTCATGTGCCTCAGCCTGAGAATAGTTTTTCTATCAAAACTTCAGGCAAGGACTGTGAAGGCTACAGATCTGGGGGCACAGCGACACAAGCAAGTGGGTGCAGTCTGAGGCTTTCTTGCCTCTTGGCTGAGAATACCTCCATGCACAGAGCTTTGCAGAAATGGGGTAAAGTTTCCAGTCTTGATGGGAAACTTTTTTGTTGTTGTTTTTATTGTTATTCAATATTTTGTTTTGTTGTTGTTATTGTTATTTGTTGTTGCTATTCAATTTTTGTTGTTGTTACTGTTATTCAATAGCATTTCTAGATAGCCATGTGAGAAGCCTTTTTGAATGGAAACTCCAGTGCACAAATGCCACATGCTATATATTACTTCATTTTCTTTAAGTCCTTGGTTGGGATAAAAATGATGCATTGAACCTTAATGCAACTTCCTGCCCATGGGCAAATGTGGTCCCTCCTGCACTATATTTGCACAGCGTGTAAAAGAGATTGCAAAAGCAACTCAGAGAACAGCAGACTGAGGAAACCTTCTCAAAAAAAAAAAAAAAAAGAAAAGAGAGAGAGAGAAGAAAAAGAGCAGCTCAAGTATATCCTTCAGTGTCAGTTTATAAGCTGCAGAGCTAGCACTATTGCATTTGCAGTGCTTAGTGTTTGTCCAGGAGCAGGATTGTCTGCCCATTAGGAAAATATTAACACTTAGTTTTTTAAACTTTCTTGGCAGTTGTATTTTGAAAAAAAAAAAGAGTATTTTGCCAAATATGAAGATGCTAGCTAATGAACACTCCTTCTCTCCTGAGCTGATGAGACAGCCTGATGCTTTACCTGGGAAATTATGCCTTGTTCAGTTTGGTAGGCTGCTAGTAATTGTGTCCAGTCAGATATATGTAAAGATACAGTCTCAGTCTTTAGAAATAGTACTTTGTGGCTCAAGAACATGCAGAATTGATGTATCTCATTAACTTTTCTATGACAGTCACTGGACCTAGTGCCCAGGAGAGCACTGGTTGCAGCCAAGTGTCTTAATTTTGCAACCAAGTGTCTTAATTTACTCAATTGCAGATGCTTCATCCCTTAGAAAATGGGCAACCTGATGAGTACTCTCAGTTCTGAGGGAGCTGACTGATGAATGGCCCTTGTCTTTCCCTTACCCATGTGTCTACTAGGATTGCTGAAACAGAGAAGGCATCTCAGAGCTCTTGCCTTCAGAGTAGTCATGAGTACGGAGGAAGTGGGAAATGAACAAAAGGGACTGAATGAAATATGGGTGCGAAACAATCAAATAGCAAATCCTCTCATTTCTCCCCAGTTCCTTTGTGGGATTTTTTTTGTACCACAAGAGGGTCGGAAGGTTTTTTGCCAAACCCCATGTTAGGTTTTCCTTTCCCTCATGAGGCAGTAAGGCTGTGAATTTTTAAAGTCCTCCTAGAAGGTAGAAGGGGAAAGCACTTGATACGAAAAACCTAAAAAAATTTTCCCTTCAAGAAGCTGAGCTATTGCAATTTGGGGGACTAATGGCTTGAGTAAACAGTAAGTGAAGACAGATGTTTTGCAGGCATGAGTAAACAAAGAAAACTGACAACTGATAGGTAAAGAAAATAGTGGTTGTCATGCTGGGAGGAAAAATGAGGATTGCCTGCTCCCAAAATCCTGTGTGCTGCCAAGAGCTTCTGAAAGCCTTAAAATAAAATAAAAATACAAGTTGGACCAGAAATTAAATGACTGGCCAAAAAAGTTTGGAACAGCCTTTTGGCTTGACAGTGGGTTAACAGGCAGCAAGTCAGCAAGGAATAATTAGTTTATACTTACTTATTTGATGTCATTTTTCACATAACATTTATTTGTGTCTAGCTCTCTCAGCACCTGTCATTGTTCACAGAAATCTATTTGCAGGATGTGGAGAACATCTTATTCCTTATTACGCTCTCTGATGATTTTCCTTTTATTGATAACTTCTAAGCTATGCGCTGTTTTCAAATCAGAAGTGCCAAAAATTTGGCAATTTTGCTTGCAGTTTGAGATTAGTAGCGATAGGCTTGAATGCAATTTTAAACTGACTATTTTAAGACAGTTTAAGGGTTTTTTTTTAAGCATCATTTTATAATATTTTGGACATATTACAAGAATTGTTATTTTTAAATACAAATATATCATTAAAAATGTTTAAAAATACAAGTACTTGCCAAATATTTCAGGTTAGGATGTGATAATTAGGCACAACCTTAGGTTAGTTTATAAGCTGTTCTCCTCTGTGCAGTCAGCTGGCCCAGCCAGTGCACAGAAGTGCTGAAGCAGTGTGTTCAGCCTTGGGGATTATTTGCATATGTAAGACTGCACTGCTTGGAGCACAGGACCTGTGTTTCTTCCTAGCTTCCCTTTACAAGAGCAGTGCAAGGACAGCTTTCTCCCCCAGAGCTACAGGCAGACCAGGCAGGACCGAGGTCCTGGGAAAGCGTGGTGGTTCATTAGCAGATGCATTGTGATTCGAAGCTCTGCTGTAACCTGACCTCTAGTATCGGTCTGACAGATAAAAATACAGCCATAGTAAATAAATTGCTCTGAGGCAAAACATCTTGAGAAATTGGCACACACATGACTCTCTGTAAAGATATGCTTTCTCCATACCTCTGTCTGCGCTGGCTACTCTCCAGGATAATCTTGGCCCATCTGCAAATCTCAAACATGACTAGAAACACTACAAGGTGTGTAATTAATTTTCAAGATGTACAGTACATTCAGGTTGATACTTCTGGTTCCAATTTATAAATTACTCTCAAGGAAATCTCAGGCACTTTTCATAATTTACCACTGAAACTAAGCCAACATCTGTCTATTCTTAAAGTTTGCTATGAATACATTCACTAAATAGAGAAAGGGAAACTGGGAACGGAGACCTTTTTTCCACTGAAAGAGTAAACATCCATTTGTTTCAGTTGCTCTCTTAATATAGTAGAGAATCCTTAACTTTTCTTTTTTACTCCAAATTTTTCTTTTGCCATTTAATAGCTTTGTTTACTTAATATAGGCACAATGTCCACAGTAAAAATATCCTCAGCTAAATGCTGTAGAAAATGACAGTGTCTGTCTGTCAGGCTTATTTGATCAGTGGAACTATTAGATACTACAAGTAATTTTTAGTGTAAGTGCTTCACTGAAATTGTTCCAGTTAGGGGAGGAAAAAGATGATACCGTACACTGCTGTGCAATGTAGGGAAAACTTGGGCTCGACTTCCCTTTGTGCAAAAAAACCAGAAAATTTAGGTTACAGGGCCCTTGAACTTATCTGTTCCTAGCTCCTGCTGAGATCATGGTCAGTGTTGAAGCAAGTTCAGGTTGTTGGGTCCTGTCCAGTTGGGCTTTGAAAACCTCCAAGAATGGAGATTACACAATATCTCTGCTGTCCTGGTCCAGCACTTAACCACTTGTGTAGTGAGAAGGCTTTTTCTTTGTATGGAGCTGGAATTTCTTGTGTTGAAGCTTTTGCCTGTTAATACTCAACTTTTCTGTTTTCCCTATGGTCTTAACTCAGATAATGGACAGTTTTAATTAGATTCCCCCAAACCTTCCCATCTCAAGGCCAAGCAAATGTAGTTCCTTCAGCCTTTCCCCATATTTTAGCTCCCAACCTTCTTGTTCCTTATTTCCATGATTGCGTTTTGACTGAATCTCTGAAATATTTAAGTAATATCTTTCAAAAGAACTCAGACAAGAAGTTTTACTAATCAGTCAATGCCATAAATGCTGTCAAATTTTGCCACCCTACAGAAAGGCTGCTGGGGACATGCTTTAGCTCCTACTCAAGCCTTTGCAGTGTTTCAACTGCATTATAAGGCATCTATCAGTATCTTTATGTTCATCCTGAAGGAAGAAGGTGTCTATGCCCACCAACTCCAACATGCCTAAATCTTATTTAGGCAATATCAAATGAATTGGGTCACCTTGGAGTGTTGATTGACCTAAAGCATCTTCAGTTTCTTGTCCCAGGACAGATATGATTTCAGTTAATCAGGAGACTAGGAAACTGTGTTTCTGTCCAGTAGGTGAAGGTATTTAGCCAAGTAAAATTGTTAGAGGCACTGTAAGGTCCAGGCTAAGGAAAAGGTTAAAGCACAAAATTCACATTGTGTGAGACAGTAGAGAATCCAACAATGAAAACACCACTGCCCATTCTACCCCCATAGGAAGATCTCTCCAGGCTTCTCTATGCCAAAGACAAATCTATTAGACATAAATCAGTAGGATAGTTGGCTTCTCTGTCTCTTTAATGTTTCCTGCTGTGGAGTGCACTCTTAATTCAATATTTTGTCATGGTAGCTGCAGCCTTGTGTTCTTTAGGAGGACAGATAAGCCAGAAGATGGAAGCACTGACCCTTGGGTCCTGACAGTCTCCTCTTTCCTTGCTCCTCACCACTCCCACTGCTGCAGAGTTCACTTCATCAGTACAAGTAAACAAGTGTGGAGTGAAAAGAGGCAGTGTTGGTGCACTCTGTTGCATCTCCCCTTCGAAAGTTTTTTGTTTTCTTTTAGTCCGACTAGCTAGCACAGGTATATACAGTCATCCTACTGGGAAAACAATTATCTTGAAAGCCAGCTCTGTAGTGGGACAGGGCCTTGCTTGGCAGGCAGAGAACTCCCTGGTGGAAGCACAGTAATTCTTCCCAGGTACCAGCTGAATTACCCCTGCAGCACATAGTAGCTCCTTGGCAAAGCCTACCTTTGTATTTTGTTTTGAGCCAGGGACTATCTTTTGATGCTCTACTGGGGTGTTACTGTGTTATAAATAGTTTACCCCTTCTTATAAACAAAGCAACTCTTCCCTTAAATGCTTTCATTCAAACTTTTCAGATAAAGAGAAAAAGCATGGTCTTATTGCAGAAGATTTTTTTGCAGAAGAGAAGGCTAAAAAAAATGTGTAATTCTCTGCTCAAAGAATAAACAGGGTTATCCAAGTAAATAAGAAACTAACCAAAGTGTGTTCACTGATCACTGTGAAAGTTTGAAAGGAGCAAATGGGGATTTCTCACTTTCATAAGTGAATTAACCTATGATGTGCATTGTGTGGGCCTTTGTGTGTGTTTGTTTTGTTTGCTTGTTTTTGTAAGATGGAAATTTTTGTCTTGCCTTAATTATTTGTTTGACTTACGTGAAAAATCCATGTGCCTTGCCTTAAGGATTTGTTGGCCTTGCTGTGTGCAGAGAACATGCTTCGGGAGGTACAGATTTGTTAAGATGTTGTGTGTACATTTCTTTATATAGATCTGAATTTATGAGCTTGTAAATGAAATCAACAGTATCCCTTTATTTCTTTTTACAGCAATAGATGTTCTTCATCAACTGGGCCTTGTGAAAGATGTTCAAGAGCCCTCAGAGACAACAGTGCCTTCTACATCATCTCTGTTACCTCAGGGTGTTCGTCTAACTGTTTCGGGAGTTGTACTAACTAGTGATGCACGTATCGAATCCCCCGTTGTTCAAGTCATACCATCAAATCTAGGGCATCAGTTCACCATATTGGTTGGGTTGTACTCTTACAGAGTCAATAATGCTTTCCTTTTCAGTATTAGGAACAAAAGTAGACTGCAGTTTGGTGTTCAGCTGCTACCGAGAAAGGTAGCAGTATACACTGGAGGGAAGCAGTCTGTACACTTCAATTATAGTGTTCATAATGAACAATGGCATTCATTTGCCATTGGCATTGGAGACAAGACTGTCTCAATATTTGCTGAGTGTGGAAAGAAGTACTATAGCAGTGAAGTACTTTCTGAAGTGGAGACGTTTGGTTCGGATGGTGTATTTACCCTGGGAAGGATGAACTCTCAATCTGTCAGCTTTGAAGGAGTTATCTGTCAGCTAGATATTATTCCCTCTGCAGAAGCCTCTGCAAACTATTGTAAATATGTGAAACAGCAGTGTCGCCAGGCTGAAACTTACCGATCTCAGCCAGGAGCTCCACTCGTGTCAGAGGGGCTGGATATTTTTTCAAAGATGATCATTGATGAGGAACACCAGGAAGATTTATCAGCTTATAGATGGAAGGAAGCATCAAACATGCCTGTTACCAAAGTTGCTCAGATTCACTTTCTACCAGACCACTTTGAGTCAAGAAATGCCTCTGCGTTGGAGTTTGCAGAGACCAAACCTCGACTGCTGGAAGCTTGGCCTGAAACAGAACTCGAGGAGAACATCAATCTGCCTCTTCAGCAGCAGGAGATGAGCAAAAAAAGAAACACCACTAAAACTTCTGCAGGATCAAATCCAGATAGTTCAGCTAATACCACAGAAGAAGCAGGCAGACAAAGTGAACCTTCTCTGATCTCCCCTGTAAAACAGAGTAAAACTAAAAGCAAGGGAATGGAAAAAGCAAAACAGCATTTAGATGCGCTGAGCAAAAAGCAGCAAATCTTCAACACAACCCTGTACAGTTTGCCTGCTGAGCTCCCTTTGGATAATCAACTCAGTGCAGGGCAGGAAGGTGCACTTGATGTAGATGAGACTTATCACACAGAAAACAGTTATGAAATTAGTATTAATAATTATGCTTATGACTATGAAGATCTTGGCAAAATGTTTGAAATGGGAAGTGTCAGAGGTCCAAAGGGGGAAACCGGACCTCCTGTAAGTTATCTTTATTACTCTTCTTACTATAATGTAGCAATATAAATTTAACAGAGGCTTAGAAAGGAACCTCTCAAAGCATGCCAAAGCTGTGACTGCAACTTCTCCCAGCTGTACTATACAAATGTTTGTCTGCCTTAAATATGTCTCTTTCTCGCATGTAATTTTGGTTTAAGTGCCATATACTTATATTTACTGGAAGAATATAAAGACATTCAAGACATTCACATCCTGGTGAAGTGATAGGCAACCCAGGCTTCTTTAAAATTTGGAATGTAGCGAGATATTTGTAACTGCTACTTGCAGAGACCGCTCACTTAATAAAATTACAGACTAAATTCATACAGTTCACAAATATAGATACTGATCCATGAAAAGAACAACTGGTCTGCTTTGAAGACTGAGTCAGTTTTCTTAGGTGAGCAATGCTATCAAAACTTATGGTACTAGAAAGAGACCAGCTGCAGAACCTAGTCTGGTAAAACCATTCATAACCCAAGGTTATTGGGATGCAAAATGGTTTTTAGAACAGTATTTTGAGATTTTACAGCATTTTTTCAGTTCAGAGGGTGATTCCTGATCCAATTGCAAATGCACAGTAGTGTTTCTCATAGAAACCAGTTTATCCTTTTCTTATTGTGTGCACAAGGCTCATAAATGTTTTAATACATATAAATGCGGGCAGTATATTTGAAGCTACAGACCAGAAAGAACATCAGTTCTGCTTAGCCTGGCAAGTATGATAGATTGTGCTTCATGCTTGTGTGAGCTTTCGGTTAAACTTTTTAAAACATAGCATGGAGTAGATAATTTCACCTGCCTTTTTTTTTTTTTTTACTTTGTTTTGATTTGTGTAAGTATTCACCTGTGTGGTTATTACTGAAAAGCCATTTAATGTGTGTTAAGCAGTTTCTAATATATATTTTAATATGCCCATAAATTTATTGTGTTTATTCTTTCAGAGATGGAATATTTTTTCTTAAATTAGTCAGCAATCAAGAACCTACTCAGAAGTTCAGTTTTTACTCTAAGCAGGATCCAGGCACAAAGGGGTTCTTGCACAATTGAAAATTGTGTTAATAAGTAATTCACACTAGTTTAGAGGTGCTCTTGCTTAATATCTTTTTTAATGCGAAGTCAATCTTTTTTTTCTCTTTTTGTGCCTTACAATAGTATTTATGGTGACATATCACTAAGTGTGTAACTGCCATCAACATGAGGTTAATTTCCATTTTTGGAGCTTAAGACGTTTGGTAACTACTAATGGAAGCTTTTAATTTTAGTGCACAGCTTGTTAGTTTTGATTTCAGTCAGTCACAGCCAAGAAAGTTAAACCTGTTCTTTTTTACATGGCACAGAAATGGCTACTAATAATGCTACTGGTTGTTTGCATTATGAAGAAACTCCAAGCAAATGCTTTAGCTGTTTTTTTTCTTACATACGGACACTATACACATAGTGACAAAGATGGCACCTGATTATTTGGAGGGTTCAAAGATCTTCTATGCCCGTCTTACAGAGTGGGGATGCAGAAGTTTGTCTCACCTAGGAACGCAGATGAAGTCTGTAGTAGTGAATGTAGTGCATTTGTGCTGAGGTGTTTTGCTGGATCGGGATTTAAATAACATGCCCAAGGTCTTAAAGATCAGAGCTGGCAAGGTAATATAGACTTCTGTGGGCATTAGGTTGGTCGAAGGGGCCTGGAGCACCCACTGTAACAGAGGCAAAGTTAAAACTGCACTGCCAGAGAGGCTGACACCGAAGGGAGAAGAGGTCTCTGCAAGAAACTGAGAGTTGTGCTCTGTGGAGATTCTGTGGCACAGTGCCTGACACTGTTGTTGGCCTCAGACTTGAAGAGATGGTCTTGATTTGCTTTCTCAGCCTAGTACTGCCGTGTAGAGAAGACCAGAGATAACACGGCTTTTATATGTGTGGCTCTAACACTCTTAATATGTAAGTACTCACAGAATCTTTATGAGGAACCTAAAAAAGCAACATTGAGGAACTCGAAAACTTTCCTTGCAGCAAAAAATTCTGATGAGGCATGAAACCCCTCTCTTTTTACTTCTTTAACTATGTTGTGGTTGGTTTGGATCTTCTTTCAAAATTTGAACACAGAAGTAATGTTCGTTCTATTGGAATTGACAGGCAAGAACTAGCTTTTGTGGTTCTTAAACTACTCAGCTTCATTTTAGCTTTTAATCGTCTACCAGAACTGATTCTTGCCTTCTGTAATTAGGCTCCTTGTATTCCATGATCCCACAGCTGTGGAATTCACCCACCACAGCAAAGCAGAATTCCAGAATTCAGGCTTTAATTTACAGGTAGTGTAGAAAAAGGGGCACCTATATCTTCAAAACTCTTAAGACCTTGATTAAAATTCTAGCTGTTGCAGTTTCCCTAGGAAAATATACAGGGAGTGTAAAGTTGGAACAGTGTGATGTCCTGAAACACTACTTTCAAGAAAATGCTGCTCTGTTCTTTGGAAGAACCACTCCTTTTTTGTGTTGCAGAGGATGTTTGCACTGTGTAAAGATTACCAAAATAAATGTGATGTGTGATTTTAACTGTTTAATTTTCAAGCTGATATTTTTCACTGCACAGTCCTAAAGCAGTTTGCAGTAAAATGATGCACAGTCCCACACTGGTAAACAGAGGGGTCGATGTGAGCTGAAGAGCTGATTTAGGTTTCTTGCTGGTAGGTAATTGCATCTTCAGGCCTACCTGCACAGGATGTGGCCTTCCAAGAGAAATGAGCTAGGAATTTGTTTCCTCTACTGGAAAAGCTTTGTGGAAAACAGCTAGGAGGAGGAATGGTAGAAGACCAAATGGTGGTATTCCCTCTAGTTGGCCAGGAGACATTGCCTAGAGGAATGGGAGATGGCAAGCCCTGCATTAAGCAGAGTTGAGTCCTGGATGAGATGGTCATTTTGCAACCAAGAGATATAAGAGTGAGAACACTGAGAGGGCAGTTCAGAGATCCTAAATGAACAGCAGTAAGGGTAGCATCAGGTACACTTTCACTCCTAGCTTATTTCCCAAGTGAACAAAATTGCTTGCTGAGGTTCTCCCTGACCACAGGTTATTTAATCACTTTTGCACTTTTAAACTCTGCAGGTAACCCTTACATTTCCCTGCCTAGGCTGAGAAATCTCAGTATTTGCTGATTCAGATAAAAACTAGATTCTTGCTGGTTAATTTTTAGTAGCAGAAAGATAATGTTAGTCTTAAACATTCAAACATTTCATATCATTTCCTTACAATTAATGCCGTTTCCCTATCGTCTGCACAACAATATTGAAAAACTTTAACCCATAATCCAAAGCCATATATATATATTTCTCTGATGTGGATGACATTGCTTTGTTGTAGGAATTCTTGACAGAGAAATGGAAAGACTTTCATGGCTGTAAAGAAAGAAGGTTGATCATACTGAAGTGAATGCCTGCTCTAGGGCATTTAAAAAGAGAATTGTGAGGGTTTTATCATTTCCAGCGAAATGCAAATAAAACAAGAAGAAAAAATAATAGGTGGTCATTAGCGTTTGGTAGAGTCCTTATTGCTCAATGAAGTCCTTAAAGGAGGTGAAGGTTAGGAAGAGCAGGTTAGGAGCACAAAGAAGAATTCTGAGTGATGGGATCAGAATTCCAGGTGGCCTAAACTGATGGGATGAAACTTAGTGTGATAGTACAGAAATTAAAAGTACAAACAGAGGCTGAGGGAGTGATTGGCTTGACAGTCACATGAGGATCATAGTTTGATGTCACACTGCAGTGGAGAATAATGCATCATACTGCTGTGATGCTTGATTCATTACTAGGCGTGGCGAGTTTCAGACAGGCTACTTTTTCTACTGTTTTGGGAATGATAACATTGCAGTTTGGAGAAGTGTCCTCGGTTTTGGATGAGGAGCTTTAAAAAGGATGTAGATTTTAGAATAGTTTGAAGCCTGACGCATCTGTTTACTTCCTTGCTGTACTGCAGGTATTTTGGTGATGTGTAGAAAGATTCATGGGTTTTTTGCTTTGCCTGTCTTAGCTATTTGATGGTTCAAGCATAACCTTTCTTTAATTTAGTCTTTTAAAAAAGAAGTGTTTGAGATGAGGTGAGTTTGAATGGTTGGGATGTAGTCAAGTGCCTTTTAAAGAGAAACTTCATAGTTGTTTCGCAGGAGAAACTTCAGTGAATAGCATTTAGATATTGAATGGCTACAGGATCAACATATGCCTGTGCAGAAGTTTTAACTACTTAATGCAGAATTTATTACTATCTTAGGGCCTTACTACATGTACATTAAATGTTTTGTATTACCTTTGGGTAATAGGGCAAGTTTAAATTATGTGCATTCATAGAAGTATCCTAGAAAATGTCTATGAAAGTTCACCGTTACATTCATTACAGTGACCATTTGAAAGGTAGTGAATATTTCTAGAAGAGTAGCATCTACTTTTATTATTTCATGATTAAGCAATGATTATTTGGACTTGAGCTCTGCAGTTCAATAGCTAAATGACATTTTTGCAGTCCCTAAAGACAATGTTGTAGTATCGTTCTTAAGGTTCATATGATCAGTTTTGAGCAAACTGATCTTATTAAATAGATTAATTTTAAATTTGCATCTGTAATAATTATACGAAGTTACTTTTTTTTTTTGTGGTGGTGGTGATTAAAATGTCAGAAGCTAAAACTCACATTAACATTCTAATTACTTCAGGTTTGTTTAATTGTTGCTTCTAGTAGTCGGAGGAAAAGCTATTCAAACAAATTACTTATTTCTTGGTTTAAGAGAGATTGGCTCACTCTCGTATGTTGACTTCTGTGGCTTACATGGATGCCTAAGAGGCTTAAGTAGCTTCCTAGCTAGTATAAAAATAGCCATGCTGATTTGAAGTTGTAGTTGCTTTCACGGATTGTAGAAATACATACAATGGAATAACTTCTTATAGCTAGTTGGAAAAGCATTTCCAGGAAGACTTATGTGTGCTCTACTAAAGTCTGCTGTCAGCAGACATGTTGCTTGAACTGCAGGGAGGATAAACTCTGGTTTGGGAGGGTCCTTGTTAACACTTTAGTCAAACAACTGGATTGCTGGGGCTAGTTGCTTACTATTGTTAACCAGAGACTTCATCTGCAGTTGTTGACTTGGTTTTGGAATGCCTGGAGAAAACACTATTAATATCTGTCTGAATAGTTCAAAATATATTTCAGAGTGTGGTTGTGATTAGATTTTCTTCTTTTGGGGATTTTCTTTTTATATGAAAAGGGATAATTACTTATGATTTATTGCAATCTAAGTGAAATTGGGTTGGATTTGGGTTTTGTTTGTTTGTTTGTTTTCTTTTGACAAGGAGGCAGGTGTTATTAAAAAAAAAACCTAGATGCTACATAGGGAAAAATGTTTTCACTGCCTTCATTCAATAAATCAGCAGTAAAGATCAGGGATCTTAATATCAATGAGATTTCTATTAGAACAATGGTGGAGTTTGGCTACTAATGGATTTTTAAGGAAATGTAGAAAGCATTTGAAACAGGGATATAGAAGACCTTTTTACAGCAAACTGCAAAACAGTTGCAACTATCCTACTTATTTCAAATATTTTTCTTTTGTAGTCCCAGGTTAATATTCTAATCAAAATGCATCTTTTAAGTTACAACTTGAGAGGAGATATTACAAAGCATACTGCTTCAGCAGGGCAGGGTGGGAGCTCTCTGTGCCTTTCTGAGTGCATTTTTGAACCTGGACAAGAAGGCCAGGTCAAGAGTTTTCCATGTGTCTGTCTGCTGCATTTCTTGTGCTATTAAACACGGGGTCTTTTTACTTCAGAAGGATACGAGGATGCCACTGAGCATTTACGCAACTGTGGTGAATAGCAAACCTCCTGGGCTAAAAGTATGACGTGGTATGGTTTGATCTAAAGACCAGGGCTGTTATACAGATTTGTGTCTTCTAAATTGCACAGAGAGGGAAGTGCAGGTATGGATTTCAGCCTGATTTAATGTAGTGTGTACGGACATACAAATATTCCCAACCCCAATTAGACTCCTAAGATAATTATGATTAATTCAAGAGAAAATGATTTTTAAAAAAATTTCTCAGAGTTGTCCACATGTGATCTGTATTTTGGACAAATGAATGTAATTAGCTTGATAATGCCTAAAGTCCGTAATCAGCGTGGTCTGCTCTGCCAATGACATTATCTTTCCAAGAAAAATGAAGCATCACTTACACAAAACTGGAATATTTTAAAAATGCAATTTTTGTCTAAATGAAATTATTTACTCACTGCTAATAAAACCCCAAAAGGTGTTTGTCATTTTCCCTTCTCTCTCTCTTTTTTTTTTTTTTCTTCTCTGTTTAGTTTTTTGCAGAACCTTTGAGCTGGCCATTTCATCCACCCTAATTGCCTTTCTGATTTTCCTGGTATCCCTGCCAGCTTTCAGCATTGTTGTTTGGTATGGGCAGTGTGACAGTGCTTTGCCCAGCGTCTCAGCTGAGAGGCTGTTGTACATACAGAACACAGGAGCACAAAGAAGTCTGTGTGAAAGAGTAACTTGAATCCCTTCCTCCTGTCCTGACTGACCTTCTTCATGAGGTCTGACTTTCTTGATGCCCACCTTTCCTTGCAGAAAGTACCCGATTTCTGTCAGAGCTGGGGCTTGCTGTGCAGGCATTTGGATGGGAGCTGAATTCACCCTTAGGAGTAGCTCATCCGTCTGTAGAGTTCTAATTTGATAGATTAAATATAATATAGAGTAGTGCAGATTTTAGTGTGGAACTCTCATTTGTATTTGAGCACAGTGGAGTAGATCTTGGGGTTTTGAATCTGAACAATAGTCACATACAGAAGAGGAAAGGTTTCTATGGTCAAAATAACTAGATATGCAGGGGGTGGTACACTGTCCAATATGGTGACTAATAACTTAATTCATTTGCAAAAGATACATGTGACTACATACTAGCATTTAAAAAAAGAGATCTATGTTATCCTTGAAGGGAATGATATTCATTATATACAAGGGCAAATGTACTACAAGTTATTCTTATTAGAAGCTTTTAACAGGAAACTGAACAGTCATTTATCCACACTGATTTTCTTCTATTTCATGTCTGTCTTTTCTCTGAGGTGGTATCTTATTTTTTCACAGTTACTCCAGCTTTTCTAAAGTGTTTGGCATGCCAGCATGCTTATTAAAAAGGTTTAATTATTCTCTGTTCTTTATTTAGAAATACACTGCACTTGCTTGTTTTACCTGATCTTTTCTTCCCTTAATACCAATACACTTAAGTAAAAGTTATTATCCAGATTTCTAGCTCTAATTTCTATGGTATAAGATACTTTCTAAACAGAAATCTGACTTGGAGTCACATTAAAACACACTTGCTTGTAGTTTGGAAATTTGTTTTCAAAGTGAGAAGGTCTGCACAAGCAGAAGGTTGTCAGTTAGGAGGACTGGTCTCATTCAGACTTGTGATACCATCCTTGTGTCAGGTTTTGGGCTCAACTGCTTTGATTTTCTATCACCAGGGTCCCCCAGGTCCTCCAGGTTTACCTGGTCCTTCAGGAAAGAGAGGTCCTCGGGTGAGTATAAACACTATGTTCTTCTGCACCTCTAGGCAGGTCAACAATAATCAAACTGAAGTTTGCATAATTTTGTTTTTCTCTACTTCATTCATGTGCTTAGCGATTATGAAAGTGAATGATTCTTAATACTTAGCACATACGTTAAAGTAAAGCAAAGCAAACCTTTTCTTCTGCTGTGAGCCTGCAGCATAGTTAATTCCATGTATGAGTGCATACACTGAGCATTGTTACATTTGTACCTAGCTTTTGCTGTTCACAGTACTTCTAGTTTTTCCATGCTGCTCCCATCTGCTGCAATTTAAGGTCACATTCGTTTTTGGAATGAGGGGGAGTGAGCAATGCAGGCCATAGCCACAGAGGAGCAGGCGGTGGCTGTAAAATTAACCACTGCAAGACGGAGGCGGGGGAAAAAAATACTCCTAAAAATCTGGTTTAGTCTCTTGCACGTGGCAACTTGATCATAGCTTGATAGGTATCAGAGCACTTTGCCAAAGCACTGAGCTACAGTAGCAATTGTTATTTATGTTGTGTGACTGTGCACCCCAACAAGAGCAGGGACAGCAGCTTTGCCCTGTGCCAGGGGACAGAGCACGGGCTTTTGCCACAGTGAGCACAAACCTGTGCCCCAGCTGCCATGAGTGTGGGAGGAGCCTGTGCCACTGCATGGACTAGTTGATGAGGCAAAAGAGGGTGACTTTGTTTGCACAACTGAGTACAAAAGAAATACGTCTGAGGAGTCCCTGAGGTTCATGGCTGATTTTGGGGGCTTCAGGGAAGGGCAACTGGAAGGAAGAGGTGAAGATTTATTGCGTAGGTGATTTTGGTCCACGGTATTTGGGGATGTAAATGGTTGTGACTGGAGCACCCTCAGCTATGCAAACTGAAGGTGGAGGTAAGGGAGTAGTTTATATGCAGGCTCTGCAGATGTGTGGGAGGAGTTTTGATTCAGCCTTTGAGGAACTTTTAAACAAGCTGCTGCTCAATAGCATGTTGAAAGCCAGCAAAGCACGGCATGTTCTAGACTTGGCCTGACTGGGTAGGAAAATGCACTGGTCAAAGAGGATGAAAACCAAACTGATGCTTTAGAGCAGTGAGAGGCAAGGGAGTAGGAGACATATTTAAAAGTACAAAATGAAAAACATTCCTTCAAATCCCTCTCTTCATGACTTCTTGGATCCTTTTTTTCAAGTTATCTTTCTACATAAGAGCTGACAGTTCTTAAACTCAGCTTTTTATGTTGAATACTGCCTCTGCTAAGGATACATCTGGCATCAGAGGCAGGATCCCACATACCCAAGTAGATCATCAGAACTGGGCAGTTGTCTTTGTTATAGGGGAGGCAGTCCATATATTTAAAGCCATGCCTGTTGGTGAGATTACTCTTGCTCAGTTGTTACTTGTTTGGGATTTTTTTCCTTCAGGTCTTTTTTTATAGGTATAGAGTACATAGAAGCATAATGCTCTACTGTATGAATTTTCTGGATTAATTATTGTGTAGGACATGCTTGCCAATGTGAAAAGACAGCTTACAGTAGGGTGCCTGGAAAATATGAGAAAGGCTGAAGTAAATATTTACCAGTAGTTCAGAGTTTAAAATATATTTATATGGGCCAAGAAAGTCTATAAAAATGTTTGATAAAAAATAAATAATTTTGAAATGTCAATGCTCTTTAGTTTGTATAACACTGATAAATTCAGGCAGGTATAGCTAGTGAAGATACGTGGTATGTCAGGAGTTTTGTGAGCCAAAGAGCCTGTGAAAACCTTATTGACACAAAGTTAATTTCCTCATCTACCAGCTTGCCCTGTGACTTCTGTCTTCCTTCACATGAACTTCCATTTGAGCTATCCTAAAATGTGACTCGGGGTGTCAAAGAGAAACAAACATCAGAGTGCAGAGGTGCGTTGCCTGAGCCTTCATCAGGGTCTCTCAAGTGTGTGTCCAAACCTGATCCTGACGGAGATTGACATGATTTGGACACTTTGGGAATGTGTGATTAATAGTTAGAGATTTCCATTAAAAATTGAAAAGATTATGATCCCTGTAATTTTATGGTAAAGAAGTCCATACCTTACAGTTAAGTTTTTCTGATGTCTTGGCTTGTTCTATTTCAATAATGAAATTTCAGCAATTTCAGAATTAATGGTGATGTGAAACTCCTCTGATGCCTCTCATTCCATGACAATGCTTTTGCACTTCTGTATTGTGGTACTATGACCCAAGACAATACCATTGTAAGCAACAAAAGTAGGAGCCATTGCAGCACTGCAGCTATGTTGGCACTTTCTATTTGTTTCCTTTCTCCTAAATCCCTGAGAGTGCCTCCAAAGTTGCCAGTGTGCAAATTAATCTCTCAAACAGCACATGGGATTAGCATTTCTATGGAGTTATGTCAACACTGTCATTAGTGAAAGGGAGCACTAACAGATACAGCTTTCATTGTTACTGCAAGGTATAACTGGTAAATTCAGCCTTGTGCAATGGAAAGACAAACACTAAGTATGTGTTGTTAGACCACTGAATATACAAGGAAGTTGAAAAGTGTTCTTATTGTATTTGGTATTTGGATTAATTGTTTGGGTGGAATTTTGGCCTTAGTGAATTCAACGTAAGCTTTGTTGCCAACTTACTAGTGACAGGTTTTCACCAGTTTGGTCCTTCAGCGTTTGGAAGATGAATAGCTGCTGACAGCCATTGCAACAAATTATTTCCCTGATGTGCAGTTTTTCAAGGAGTGAGGATTACTGAATGTGTTGCAGGAACAGACACTTATACTGGAAGGTGTTGATAGTCTTGATAGCTTATTCTGTTTCTGGAGTGGTTTAAGTTGAATTCTTTTAGTAACAAGCCCATTTTCTACACTAGCTGTGGGACAATCTATGATTTGTTTAAAGAAGGTGGAATGTGTTGCTTTGAGTCATCTTTTAAGTCACTGAGAACTCATTCACTTCCTTCTCTTTGCAGTGTATAGATGGGTACCTCAGAAAGTGATTTTACTGATTTTTTTATCCCATGCCTCCAAGTGTTGTAGTTGGAAAGCAACATTGCAGTGACTGTATGCCAAATACCTGTTATGAATTACCTGCAAAGACAATAGAAACTGAGATTTTGAAAAGAAAAGGAAGTACTCAACTTCACTTTAATTTTTTAGGAAGATGTGTATGTTTTATGTCTTGTGAATTCTTTGAAAATCCTAACCAATGCTTCTAAAAGTAGCAAAGATGCAGTAAAATTATTCTCTGCAAACTTTTCAGATGTGTTCAGTGGAGTACTGAGTAATCCCACTCCTTGTTCTTTTTAATTTGTTTGGGGCTTTTTTAACAGGGTATTCCAGGACCACATGGTAACCCAGGTTTGCCAGGATTGCCAGGTCTCAAGGTGAGTTAATTTATCCATGTTGCCATGTAAATACATGAACTTTTTAATGGCTTTTTGGAAGGCTGAGAACTGTTTCCTATAATAGAAGTAATTGGCTTTCTTTGGTTTACAGATGGAGAGTGCTACTATGAACATATTTTAATTAAAAGTAATCAATCAAATTAAACTTCACATCAAAACAAAAAAGCAGAATATTCAGTAGAAATAAAAACACCTGAGCATGCAAAAGTTTACTTGGAAACTGCTATTCATACAAGTAGTCTGTACTTCCCAAAAGAGTTCCTGTAAATCATCTCAGCCTCTTTGATAAACTGAAATTTAAATGAGAATAAGCACTTAATTGCCTTTGGTTTGCCTTAAAAAAAAAAAAAAAAAAAAAAGAAAAATGTAGACTGTCATTCTCCATGAATTGCTATTTTATTGTCCTTGTCCAACCTTTTATTTGAAATATTCTGCTATTGCAGACATTATTACTCAGTTAATATGCTAGAATAATTTTCTGAAGATTTATGGATGTGATATTTACAATAAAAGACGAAATACTGGACTGGAAACCCAAATAACACCTTCAAACTTGTGTAACATAGGTCCTTTAAATAGATTTGACAGATTTGTGCAGTTGCAAAATGCCTTCAACTCATATTTAGTTTGAACCATTTGATAGATATGTTAGGAAAAAAGCAGCACCGTGATTTGTTTAGTGCAATTCCTAATTGCAGGAATCTGACCTGTCGTGACAGGTGTTAAAATTTGCTTGAGGACATAAAAAGAATTTTAATAAAGCTTTCAGTGTCAAATGCTGTAAACCCAAGTTACTCTATTTTATGTGTGTTTTCATTCTTATGTAGTTCTATAGGAACAATAAAACTTAGAGATTCATAATTAATTTTTACCATATTTATACTGGCTGTACAACAGAATATATTACTATGAAAATAATTGTAACCGATTCCTCCTAGGCTTTGTTTTATAAAGTATTTCCCCCTTCCACTGGATGATAATTCTGATCAGTTCCGTAGCTCTCTCCATGACTTTAAGAATAGAAGGAATTGTACATGTGTATATGTACCTATATACATTTTATTTAGTTATAAAAACATATATATTACTAGGTCCTTAATGATCTCTTTCAGTTCTGTTAGACTATAAATTATCTTCTCAATAGAAGTATGTTTTGAAGCAGTTTTCTTTAAATAAAACTTAGCTAGGTGCTCGTGAAGTTCTGACTCTGAAGATCCAGTTGACCCACACTGAGTATGTGAACTGAAACAAACTTTTGTTTGATCTTAAAACATCACAGATGAGTTGTAACAATTTTCTGGCAGAAAATGAACACAGAATTTTATTCTGTCTTTAAGATGCTGAAGGTTCCTTTATGCACTTACTTTTGAAATATGAACAGCATTGACTGGTACCCTTACAGCAATAATATCCAGGCTGAGTGAGGGCCAGCAGTTCCAGTCAACACTCGATGCCCTCAGCATTTAATTTCTGATAAGCAGTCGAGGGATGTTTTTAAAGTAATTTAAAAGTGTCCATGAGGTTTGGCTTTTTTCTTGGCTTTCTGAAAAAATAGATTAGTTAAAAAAATCTATTTTATGGATTCTGTCACTGTTTTAATCACACTGTAATGTTACATAGATTAAATAATGAAGTGCTTTTATTTTATCCTCACATCTTGACTTGTGGTGATGAATTGTTAATCTGCAACTGAAAGCCATGCATAGCAGTGGCTGATTGGTATTCTCTGTGACCTGACACATTGATTTAATACAACATTTTACCACACTTTCAGTCTTTATTTATTATTCAAGAAGCATAGTTTCTCAAGCAGCCTCACATATACAGATCTGGGCCACAGAAGGGAGGAGGGGAGAGCAGGCCCTGGAGCTCTTCCCTGTATGTTGCTGATGGGAAAAGTCTCACTGTCAGGAAGCCTCACACGGCTGCTCCTGTGCTGCCAGTGCTGCACGTGAGAGTAGGGTTGTTCCAGCAATATCCAAACAGCCAGTTTTCCTGATGTAACTCTGTTTCACTGGAGGGCACCTCTCATTTTTAATCTAGCACTGCTGTGGGATAACTTTAATAGTAACATTCAGTTCCTTGGCTACATAAAACCTTTTTGAGTGAGGAGAGAACTTGATCATCTCTGGATCTCTTGTGAGTAACGCTACAAGCCTTGGAGTCAAGAGACAGTTGTAACCTGATATGAATAAATCAACAAAATGTTCCCATGCCTTTTCAGTGCAGTTTTGGGGTATGAATTAGACCAAGGAATTCCTGATTTCTTCCTCAGCCAAGGTATTTTCGGTTTGTGGCACATGAATGTGGTTTTGGCTTCTGGCTTAGGGAGCTCCCGATGAGACTTCTTGGTCAGCGTGGAGCTGTTCGCCTGGGGCTGTCTCAGGTGTCATTTGCTGGTGATTTCTGTTTTAAGGGCAGTGACTGTGACCCTGAGGGTGTGTGTTTGTGGTGGCAGAGCCCATCCAGTCCTGGTTATTGGCCCGTGGCAGGCCCCTGTGGCATGCTGGGCTGCAGTGACCGACACTTTGACACTTTGTGTGACAGTGCACTCCAGCATCAGGGAGTCAAAACAGGAGAGACCGGTGTGGCAGTGTCCATCTCCCATCTGCCACCCAGTCTTGGATGCAGACAGTAATGCCCAGCCAAGAACGATCATCCGTCTCAGCTGCTAGGCACAAATTCCTGATGGAAAAGAGGCCTTGTCTGCATTCCCAGCTCTGTCCTTCCCAATGCAATGTCTGTGCTGCATGGGAAGGCTGGGCCTGAGGAAACCTCGACAAGGTTGTGGTCCATGCAGTAATACAGCCTGTTAATCCTGCACGTTCTTTGAGGAACAGCTGGTGTTCTGAAGTGATGGAGACGTGGGCAGAGCAATTTGGTTGGGATGTCTGCTGTAATCCTTCTTGGAATTGCCAATAAATCTGCTTTTCAAAAGTTTGTGACATGAAATTTGGAAAATGTCAATCTCATTTCAATGTGAACTTACTTACACTATTGCATTCTTTTTTGCTCTTTACTGAAAAAGCTATGAGAAAAATATCTGTACTAACAAGTATATTTGATATGAACATTCTTCTTCCTCTTGCTTTAACAGTTGGGAATACTTGTTTGCACATATATTACTAAAAACTCTCTTCCCTGATGGTATTAATGAGCTTAATTTCTCTGTGACAGGGTCCTAAGGGAGACCCAGGATTCTCTCCAGGACGGGCGAAACGGGGAGAAAAGGTATTATTTTCGTAATTATAGAAAAAGGTTTTGTCTGTGTCCCATTCTTTTGTGAAGACTTGTTTATTATTGAGACAAATTATGACAGCACAGTGCTGATATTAATATTTGTCCTTTCACTTCAGAGCTTTTTCCTGCTAGTGCCGGCTAAGCCACTTTAGTCAAAAAAGTGGTTGCTTTCTCTGCCCAAAATACTTGAGTATAAGTATTCAAATATTCTATTCTTCATAGAAATTGTGAGCTTGAAAGCTTATGATTATTTCATTTTTTGACTGCAAATGTACTGAGTATACATGGAACTTTAGAGTTAATGTGATAACACTAAAATACAGTTGGATGTTTGCATTCTAATGTGTTAGGCTCTGCTACATCTTTTAGAATATCTTGTATTTATGCTATATTTTATTAACAGCATTTTCTACTAGGTCAATTATGGAATATTTGTGCTAAGTAGAAAGCACTGTAACAATCCAGGACCACTGTCTGTAATGAAAAAAGCATTAGCAAGTAACTGCTGTTTAGTGCTGATGTGTACATAAAATAACTTAATTTTTATCAATATATGCTGTCAAACCCTAAAATTCACAAGTATATATCGTCAGCATTAAAGGGCTGCTGAGAAGAAATTCAGAAATGCATCTGCACTAATGGGAAATGGAAGTGCAGCTTTTGTGGAAATAGTAACATTATTTTAATCTAACCAGCTTTTGCTTTTGGCAATCTAATCATAGTGTTGTTGGGTGTACATGTCTCCTTGAAACTCAAGCTATATTCTTTGGCATGAACCCAAGCAGTCACAGAACAGTCTAAAGCTCACTCATATATTTGTATGACTACACCTAAATACACTTGGAATGCATCTATAATCCAAAAATATGGTATCGGTCTGCATTTTTATAGTTCATGCTATTTTGCATTCATAATTTCCCCCGCCCCCCCAGTTTAAATTTCTTGCCCTAATTAATGGAGTTAAATTTATTTGGATTCTAACTCACTTCCAGGATCCATTTCTTGACTCACTGAATATGAATTTGGGCATTAATCCTGAAGGAATTAATCTCTTCGCTCCTGAGCGAGGAAAAAAGAGCTGAAACAACCTTTCTTACTTCCTTATCTGCAACAACCATAAAAATTTGCATCTTTTTCCATTTCCCTAACATTTTAAATGCTCTAATTCTTATTCCCATCTGCCATCATGTAGTTGTGAAGTTTAAATTACCTGATGAGAATAGATGTATTCCACCATAACAGTTTTGCTTTTATGTATCTTTCAAGTTGCCTTTTACATAGATTAGATTTGTGCTGTGTTGCGTGCACTGCATACCATGATGGTGTCCTAGTTCTTAGCTGAGGATTGTTGGCATAGCAGTAATACAAACAATAAAGAGTAATAGTTAAATATATATATTAATTAGAGGAAAGGATTACCTCAAGAATTGTATAGCTTCTTCACTCCCATTTATGTTGGTTAAAAGTAAATGTTGTGAGGTTATGAACTAAGACTGTTTTAGCCACGATTTGGCCATGTTGCAGGAGCAGACACATTGTACTTGGTGATCACAATTTAGGAACTGTTGGCTTTTCAGTTTTCTTCCTATAAAAAATCCACTAAAAATCTATGTCTAATCAAACAACAGCAGCTGCCTCTTCATAGTAAATGTCCAAGAATGCAGAGAAGATATTAAGTCCTACATGTTTATAGGCCTGTGCCATGTTCCAGTGAAGCATATTGTTTCTGGATGTTTTTGTCGTACAGGGTGATCCAGGCCCCATAGGCTTTCCAGGTCCACCCGGGATCAAAGGCCAGAAGGTAAGATTCTGTTTCCATTTTCTTGTAACTTACCCTTGCCCAAGTGACCATCAGATGGATGTCTGATGGTTAAGAGGCAATAGAAGGGCTTTAGGCTTGCTGTTGGTATTGTGACTGTCTACTGTGCACAACATTCCCCTGTAACTAAATTGAGATCGTCATAACAGGATGTTAATCACAGCTGCTTTTGCTGGTGTTCTTCAATAGGCATATCAGGTAAATAAATTGCAAAGCAGTACCCATGGCAGTATCAGCATTATGCTACCGAGTGTCTCCCACTGTTTCTTCTACAGAGTGCAATTTTCCTTGAGCAGAAGGAAGCTTCGGTTCTGTGAGAGAATAGTGGTATTTCCATTCCTTAGGATATTTGGGCTAAGAGTTGCTAGGCGAAATCTTAGTTGTGGAATAAACATCAGCAAATAAGATAGAATGGAGCTATGAAAAAAAAACAAACCCATTTGATGCTGAAGGATTTTTTCAAAACTGGAGGCTGTTTTGGAGACTGATACACCATGGAGCTGATAAGCAAGCATTGCAAAGGCTCATGTGAGTCCATTTGTTGGCTAGACTTGCTCCATGCCCAGCAAACTTTTTAGCTGATACTTTCAAAGATAATATCTCTCAGTAGCTGATGGTTGTAGCATTAGTCATAAAACTTCACCTACTGATTTTTACAAATTACAGAATTTTCTTGACTCTAGAATAATTGCCAATATTGTGCTAGATATATTTTAATATATTTTAATAAGAGTGCATAGAAATTCTAGTAAAATACAATGGGTAACAGTAAGACGGAAAGACATGGCTTGAATAGTCCTTGCTGTTATGTGTACAGACTGTCTGCCATATACACACTTCACTCAGTCTGGGTCCCACTGTGCTGCATATGGTAGAAGTCAGACATTTCAACTTGCTACGTTTTAGTTGGCAGTAAATATTTTTTCTCTCACGCAGACCAAAGTATTCTTACAACTTGCTATGTTTTTGAAATGTGCTTGAAGTCTGTATTGCTGTAATTGGAAGCTTCAAACCGTTCTCTTCCACACTGAGCTTTAAAGTCAGAGAATTAATCTTCATTAGAAATTGGAAGGTAATTAATTTTTCAAAGTAGTGCATGTGAACTTTTATTATTCTTATTTATTTCCATCTTAGCTCGGAGTAAACTGCATCTAATTTATATGGATACGCTCAAGAATACAAACTCAAGCTAATAAAAATCTAAGAATTTTAAGAGGATTAGCTAAGTCACAGGGAAAGAAACCCCTGTGTGAAAACTGTCTCTTTGGAATTATATTCATTTTAGCATGGTTTAGCTTCATTCCCAACCAGCATTAAGTGAGTTAGAATGAATTAAGGCCATGTTAACTCTGAATAAGAATACGGGCATAGTGCTCTAAAGTATGAGTTCAGAGGAGTTTTGCTCTGACAGAAATAAGCTGCTGTTGTGTAGAAACATGCACACCACTCATCAGTCCTTCATCTCACAGTTTCTTGTGAGCCTTCGAGACTGTCCATGCAAGTGTTAATCAGCTAAACTGACCCGCTTTGAAACTAACCTGTGATAAAGTTTACTTTGAGTGTTTGTGTGTTGCAGAATTTGCTTTCCTTTTTTCCTACTACAAAAATAAGAAACTACCAAGAGTTCTCTTCTAGCAGCAGCTTCTTTAGTTGATTATTTAAGCATAGAGACAGG